ATGTCAGACCTCTGCGCCCTGGTAACACTGTCACTGTTGGTCCGCGGCTGCTTTTTTGCCAGACCCGATAGCCTGCTTATTTCGTAGCTAACATTCCGTGAAGGCCGTTCCACTCTCCGCCACCTGTGGACGCGCTAGATATCCAGCAGCTAGACTAACAGGTAACTCGTCTTCCCAGCTATACTGCCATCGATTCGGCGCCGTTGCCCACCAGGGGGGGAGGGGGGTGTCGAAGAGAGAGTCATCTCAAAACTTGCCTTGACACCGTTCGTCAGGACATGGAAGTGGTTCTTGGACCTTCGTGCTCGGTCACTAAAGCGGAGAATGGGTTGAGCTGTCCATATTCGCAACCGCAAATCCTCACGCGTGGAGAGGTACATTACGTGGCATAATCAAGGCCGGTTAGATCAGGCATACCTCAACCGCACCAAGTACAATTGCAGGTGGGTCAGTCATAGCGTCAGCGACCATCTCCGGGTCTCCTATTCTTGCCTCAATTTTGGTGAGTGTAGGGGATAGCATGAGGTCGGCGCAACGCAGGCCCTCTTCCATTCCTACTGTAATCTAAACAGTATGCAATTGGCCGCTGCTCTTTCGGGCCAGTCTGTGCCTTATGTACGTAATCGCAGTTCTTTGGGTTGTCTGCAGTTTTTTGAAGTGTTTCTTCTCTCTCTCCCTCTCTTGACCAGGAACTGGTAGATGGGTTTTCACCTCATTTTTGTGTTCGTGGACGAATGATTCCGATGGCGTTTCTACTCAAAAATGTGAAATAAGACACGGAACAAACTTAATGCATTTAGAGTGTCACTTTGTGAGAACCTTTGAGACGCATAGAAGACTGGCTGTCCCGTAAGGTCGGAAACCAAGCCCCTGTTTAGGTTTGCTTTCTGTGTAGTAGCCTATGCGGCCGTCTGCTTAAAGTGATAACTTTATTTTCAACTTCAAATTATTTTGTTACGCTTGCAGTCGTTCCTACTAATCTCTATTCATCTTTCAATTTAGATGAGGAATCCAGCAACCTGGCTCCAGTGGCTCTAGAGGTCCTCCAAAGAAGCGCTTGCGAGAACGAATCTGTCTTAAAACAACTGCTTGAATTTCTCTTTTCTCGTCTAAGCAATGGACGTTTTAACATACAGGAAGGTAAACACCGCATCAGTTTGTATTCGCGCCTCAATATAACATAAAAAATTTTCTCCTATTGCTCTCTCATCTAGCGTAAGTCGAGCGATTAAGTACTGAGCCATTCCACCCCTTTATAAGGTAAGCTATGCAATTTTTAGTTCAGTTTTTTTACCTGCTTATGGAGACTCAGTTGGTTGCCTGATACGCACGTCCACCTCCCCCTGTTCGAGCATACTAGGGCAGTTCCCGCACAGTGTGTGGTGTCGACATCGCAAAGAGAATTTCTCGGAGAGCTTGGTATACTTGTTACTGAAAGTCATGACCTTCAAAGGAATACAGCGTCTGCCATCTGCAGTATCCTGTCACCGCCGTGCAGTATCGTCTAGTCGCCTGCCGCAGTTTAGCTCTACTGACGCAAGCGTGGAGAGACGACGCCCTTCCTGGTGATTGGGGCTCAGGCATCCTTGTGCCTGTCCACAAGAAGGGAGATAAGATAAGATGCGAGAACTCTCGCGGCATAAGCCTCATCGACGTCGCTGCGAAGATCTTCGCTATTGCTCTTCTCAGGCGATTCCGGTCTGTGTGTGACTCTAGGACGCGCGGCCCAACCAAGCCGGATTTCGTGCTGGGCGTGGGTGTTCAGACCAGATATTCACAGTGAGAGGGATCGTTGAATTCCGCCATGGCTCCCAACAATCAACGGCTGCCTGCCTTGTTGACTTCGCCGTTGTGTTCGATTCCGTCCATCGTGAACACCTATAGCAGATAATGGCATTAGATGGTGTACCACCAAAAATAATCACTATAATCAAGGCATACTACCTCTCCACCTCTGCCGTTGTTCTAGTCCACAACAACCTCTCAGAACGCTTCGCTATTAGGTCGGGCGTTCGACAAGGCTGTGTCCTGTCGCCCATCCTTAACTACGCCATTAACTGGGTCCTCGGGAAGGCTCTACGTGATGATGACGGTATTGAGCTTGCATCCAGACGCTGGTTGACTGATCTCGACTGTGCCGATGGTGTTGCTTTACTAGCTTCAAGCTTTGGCGATCTACAGATTATGGTGTCGCGGGTGAACGAGGTCGCTAAATCAATCTGTTTGTCCATAATCACTGGAAAGACCAAAGTGTTCTCAAGCTGCGTCCATGTCCAAAATAAGGCATCCCTCAAAGCTAATTGCTGTTGACTTGAAGAAGTAGACCGTTTCAAATACCTCAGAGCGAGGTTGCTGCCGAATGTGCAGAATATCGATGACATTGTCTCCAGAATTGACGTAGCTCGACGAGTTTTTATTAGCCTTCGAAAGTGCCTATGGACTCGACGTGCTATTTCTATTAGCGCGAAGGTCCGCGTGTACCGTGTGCGGTCTGTTCTCCTATACGGCTGCGAATGCTGGGCTATGCGCGTGGAAGATGGACGGATACTGGAGGTATTTGACCACTACTACTTGAGGGTAGTCCTCCGAGTGAAGTACACTAACTTCATCTCAACTGCAACAGTCCGCACTCGCTGTGACGATATCGCAAGCATACCCCAGGACCATCCAAGAAAGACGACTGAAGTGGTTTGGACACGTTCTTCGTCGTCAACCTCACGAACTCAGTGTTCTGTCGACCCGACGCAAATTTGGAAAACAGATCCTACTCATAGTCTGCGCAGCCATCCACGTCCGTGGCTTTCAGAAGTAAGGCAAACCGCGGACAAAGTCGAATGGGTACTGAGTTCAGCTAAAGGAGACGTGTGTCAATTAGTACGTGTCGTTTCGTCTAAGCCTAGTTTACTGCCTCCACCATCAGTACATTGTTTCTTTGCACATGCTTCTCTCTACTGGGACTCCTGATGATGCTGTATGATGGCTTTTCGTCTCCGAAAATGTACTTTAGCAGACAGTCTACCTAAGTTCCACAACAAGATTATAAATAAATGAAAAACAGCTGTGGATAGTCGTGCAGTGATCCCTATAATTCAGCCATGCGGTAATTTAGGAAGCTGTGCATTAATAACGCATGATGCCAAATAGTAGGGGGACTCATTGGGACGACATAGGCATTCTAATAAAAAAAGAACACTGGACAAAGAAGGTAGCCATGAGGCGAGGTTGGGAAATCAGCACCAAAAGTAATATAATCAATTACTTTTCACTCAAAAAATTCTCCAAGTATTTTAAATATCATTTTGCGGTTGATGCCCTACCAACCTGTCCTAACTGTGGCCGCACCCCTCCCCCCGGCCTAGTTTTCTCTGGTCGGACACCCTCAAACTCACAGCACCGAAGCTCCATCTGAAACACACTACAACCTCCTTTCC